TGATGAATAGTTATCTGAGAATGAAATGGTATCATTAATGCTAAATATTTTACAAATACTATCATGTATATGAACATAGAATATATGTGGTGAGTGAAGGATATTCCAGACACTTAATTACTAATACATTACTATATGTCTTAGGTTCTTGTAAATATTATTTTCTGCCTATAAAGCTTATTTTAGACACTAAAGCCTTTTGTAATATTAATCATACATTAATATAGCTCATATTATCATTTCTGCTTTTCATTTGTTTTTCCATTACTTTTAATTGCAAATTTTCATGACCAAATTTGAAAGTTTTATATCTAAGTGACATATTTCGTTACATTTATAATGCAGCATTTCAATTTTCCAGCTAAGATCTTGTATAAATACAAAAAACTATGGAATCCTAATTTTATGTTATGATTCTCTAATTGCCCCTTGATGAGTATTTTAAACTAACTGACCAAAATGGAAAAAACATTAATGCATTATGAAGTTACTAAACTGATGCTTTGGCATCATGGACAAAATAAAAAGTTATAAGAAAGTTTTTATATTTTTCCAACAGTTTAAAGTAATGTTGTGTTATTATAAAGCTGTTTCACATTAAGTTATACAGAGCATATGGTATTTTCATGGTTTAACTTTTTCAGTTTTCAATAGCTCTTATACTATGTGAGGTGTATTCTTATTTGCTACATATTTTTACAGACTGAAGCATTAACTCTTTAAACCCATAGTTTTTTGCATGTCCTGCCAAAATTATTTTCATGATGTCCTAATAATTATCACCATACTAAATAAAATTTCCACTCTACACAAAGAATGACATTATTATAATTGTTTTTATTAAATATGGTATTTTTCTATCATAGTTATTTGCATTCAAACTATTAACAAATCAAGTACAAGGTGATTTTCATTTTAAATACAAAAATACTTTTCTTTGTCATATAGTTTTCATATTTCATTTACATAATCTATATAATCTCCTAAAAAAATATCAAAAGTTTTTTTAAGGTAAATGTTTATACTTTATTTTTCAGTTTCTCTACCGCATCACTTATTTTCATCAATGTACAATGCAATAAAACAATTCAAATTAGGAAATAGAAAAAAAAACATACATACATTTTAATTTTTTTATAATATCTTTAAAGATTTTCTTTGGTTAAATTTGTAATTTTCAGGTCTTTTCCTTTTCACAACCCTTGGGCAAAGTTTTTGTTAAATGACTTTTTGTTTATGTTATACCAATTATAATAGCATAAAATCATAGCTAATAATCCATATTTTAATAATGTACAAGTTTTTAGTTCTTAATTCTACAAGGCAATATTAAAAAAAAATCCTGAATCTCCACTAGTGTGACCCACGTGACACATTTTCTCTTAGCATGTCATCATCCCTATTTTATCCACCACCCCTCAAAAAAGTACGAAATTAAATGTAAATTACTCTCTATAAAATTGTTATTGCTCAGACACACTATAATTTTTATTGTCTTCAATTTTGTTTGGTTACAGAGCTATCGAATAGAAAATCAAACCCTCCTGTCACATCTTCTCTTTTCAGAATTCGTTGATAGTTTTCTTTTGCGTTTCACTATATATATTACCTATAACCAATAGAAATTCAAGGTTTCCATCTATCATATGACTTATTGTATAATGTTATGTTCTGACCAGTTAAATGTCAATTTCACTCAGAGTAGCAACATCATTCCCATTAGGAAGTTAACAACTAGCTTGGATAAATTTGTAACGGCTCTTGTCGCATAGTTAGATAGCCAGAAAGAGTTAAGGAAATTTTTTTACTTTTTGCCTTTTTTATAGTCTGTATTCTTTGGTGCATTATTTAATTAAATAAAAATTAAGTGCATTACTAGTACTAGTATAAAAAATTAGGCTTAACTGGCATCGACAATCAAGAGGAACAAAAAAGATTGGGTAAGTACTTTATTTCTTTTTTTCATATTTATTCATTATTTATTATTATAAAAGTAACTAAAATCTAAAATTACAGATTTTTTTAAAGTTATTTAAGACTAGATTAGGTAAAATAAGTAATAATAATAGAATTAAAATGGTTCACGAGCATGTATGCGTGCAGCTCGTTGTAACTCGTGCGTAACATGACCTGCACATTCTCCAAGTGATTTACAACTTATAGTGCTGTGGATAGTAGTTAGACATGGTTAAACGGGCAATAAAACAATAAAATTTAATTATAAATAGGTGTATGTTGCTACGAACTTAAAGCTACTTAGGATAAAGGAATGCAGTTTCATGTTACAAAGTCATTCTAGAAAGAAAAAAAAGGTAATTTAGGTATATTTCCTTCTCCTTTTTTTTTTTTTTTTTGAACAATCCCATTTTGAGATAGGGTAGAGAAAATAACAGATAAACTATAAAGTTTAACTGAAAAAATTAGTTTGAAATGCATTTAGGAGGTTCTGGAGATTACATAAAGGAATTTGAGATTTTTGAGATGAGGAAAAGTATTTTTAATTTTAACATGAAAATTACTTTGCACACGAACTACTCAAAACAAAT